GCTGAACTGACAGTTTATTCTTTCCTTTGTGCTGTCAAGATGACCAGCATATGGCTTCATGAGTCAGGAAAACAAGAAGTGGGCTGTATCCTCCAGAATCACTGCATCATCAGGAGTAATTAGTCAGTTGGAAAAGAATGTCTCTGTTTGCAGCTTTCTGAAAAGTCCCGTGTTCTTAAACATGCAAGCATTATGCACCTTCCCTGATGACAGTTTATTCTTTCCTTTGTGCTGTCAAGATGACCAGCATATGGCTTCATGAGTCAGGAAAACAAGAAGTGGGCTGTATCCTCCAGAATCACTGCATCATCAGGAGTAATTAGTCAGTTGGAAAAGAATGTCTCTGTTTGCAGCTTTCTGAAAAGTCCCGTGTTCTTAAACATGCAAGCATTATGCACCTTCCCTGACAAATCCACTTAAATATTTGATGAAGTATTCCCTAGGATATACCAACTCCTGCATAACCACAGAACAGTAGTGCTTTCTATTGATGAGTTCTGTAGCAAGGTGGGGTTAGGCCAAAATAGGGACATGCATGCCATCTATCATGTCACCACAATTCAGGAACTCCACTGCTGCAAATTCATCCACTGTGTCCTGTACATTATACCATCACCAACCCTGAATTGTCTTTGTCTACATCCCTCAAACTGTCCTATAGGAAATCTTCATGTTCCCAGTTGTTGCAGTATTTTCTGAGGGTCTGTAAATACAGAAGAATTGTGCCATTCTGTATTTGCAATATTTATGAGAATAGTGCAGTGTTCTGAAGGGACCATGCTTCTTTCAGAGATCAGAGACTGACAAGTACCATAGTAGTCTGTAGAATTTCTAAAACACAGCATAAAAATGATGGGATATGGATGGCATCATAGGTGCCAACTTTGTAGTTCCTACAGGGCTGGAATATCCATGGGGAAAAAATTAGCAGGTGCTTAGCACCCACTGGCAGCCAGCTCTCTCTCAGTGCTTTTTGCTCCCTCCCAGCACTTCATGCCTGCCACAATCAGCTATTCTGCGGTGTGCAGGAGGCTTTGGAAGTGAAGAGAAGGAACATGGATGGGGACTGAGCCTGGGGCAGAGTGGGGTCAGGAAGAGTCAGGATAGGAGTGGGTGCTTGGGGAAGAGGTCAGGTAGGGCCAGGACCTGGGGCAGAGTGAGGAGGTTATACACCTGCTGGGTCCAGAGGAAGCCAGCACCTATACATGGCATTATGGGATGGAGAACATTGCATATTGGAACCTTGACCCTTAGCTTCCAGAGATTGTGGGTGAAGCATTACTATCCACAAAACATTGCAAAAATGTCCAAAATAGCATTGCACTAGCTGGCAGAACATAACGCACTGTGATACCTAGCTATGGTGCACTTCACTCTGACTTTGACAAGCACTCCTGGTGAGTATGCTCAGCACCAACACAAGCAATCAAGCAGAGGCACGCTAACCTGGGGTGGGCAATAATTTTTGACCAGGAGCCACTTCAGAAATTTCTGAGGCCTCAGGTGGAAGGGACATGGCCAGGACACTTACATGCTTCCCCACTCACAGACCCTGAATGGTCTGGGAGCGGGGGAGTGCATGAAGTCTTTGCCCCCACTACCCCCAGAGAGAACCGCCTGCACCCCTGGCAGTGGGAGGAGACTTTGTGAGCTCCCCCTCCCTGCCCCCAAGTCAATCAGAGCCTGGGGGAGGGGGCAGCATGCAAAGTCTGCTCCTGCCCTGCAAGGGAGCACTGTGCTTAGAGTCATCTTGCAGGGCGGGATTAGACTTCACATGCTCCCACAGCCCCCAGGCCACTCAGGACTTGGGGGCGAGGTCCCCCCTACCCGTCCTGCAAAGAGCATTCAGTGATTCTAAGCACCGTGCACTCCTTGCAGGGCAGGGCGGGAGGAGACTTTGCATGCTTTCCCCTGCCCCCAGGTCCTGATTAGCCTGGGGGCAGAGGGAGCATGAAGTCTCTCACTCCCTGCCCTCCAGCGCATGGCACTTAGAGTCAACTGCCAGGGTAGACTCTAAGCACTGTGCACTTCCCCGTCTCTAGGCCCTGACCCACCCCATCCACAGTGATCTGGTTTAAATCCTGATTCTCCAAACCCCTGTTGTTCTAGTTCTAGACCTCCTCTGGGCAGAGATAGCCAATTGTACCAAATTGTAACTTTCCAATAGAGACAAATGTCTACACGCAATTCTGATGAGACTCCTCTAATTTCTTGTGACTTAGGTCACGCTCCTAAGAATTTCAACCTAAGACAGAATTTCATCCTAGGTCACCTAATTAATTTTCTTGTGCACTGTTCTCTCAAAATGCCATTCAGAAGCAGGATTCATTTGGAACTAAGCAACCAGCTATGATGCTATATCCTGCTTCAGTAATAATGAGCTATGCCAGTGGTCCTCAACGTGGTGCCTGCAGGGGCCATGGTGACCGCCGGGCCATTTCTGTGTGCCCACCGAGTGATCAGAGCTGACCCTGCCCCCGGGCGCGCAGCACAGGGGCGGTGCCAGCCCCGGGCGCACAGCACATGGGCAGCCCTGCCCCCGGGCATGCGGTGCATGAACTGTGCCGGCCCCGGGTGCGCGGCATATGCGCATCCCCACCTCTGGGCACACAGCACAAGAGCGGCGCCGGCCCCGGGCATGCAGCGCATGGGCTGTTCCCGCTCCGCGCATGGGCACTGCCAGCTCCTAGGTGCATGGCACAGGCGCTGGCTCCGGGCACGCAGCACATGGACAATGGCGGCCCTGCCCCAAGGTGCACGGCACATGGGCTGTTCCGGCACCGGGCACGCAGTGTATGGGTGGCCTCACCCCCGGGCACGTGTGCGGCCCTGCCCCCAGATGCCCAGCGCGTGAGTGGCCCCGCCCCCAGGCGCCCGGCAGCCCCAATAGGTTGGGGACCACTGAGCTATGCCATCCATTGATCCTTCACCCAACAGAGCTCCAGTCCCATAAAAGAGAGGAATTTACCTGTCATATATCTTGGCAATACGCAACTCCCCTCTTCCCTTCCGCAAACTAATCCTTGTGGTTGAAGCATGAGCAAGGATGTGGCCACCAATGGGCTTCTTGGGGTCTGCCTGAAAACTAAATTAACAAAAATAATTAAGTTTATCTTGGTGAATTCTATAGACTAACAATTGTGATAAGCTGTCAGACAGGGCTTGACAGTCTCAGATGAATAAGTATCAAGAGGATTTAGCTACAGGCAGGGCCACCATTTCAGATTTTGGTGGGAGGGGGGCAACCTGTGCATGCAGTGATGGGGGGCGGGGAGTGAAAGCAAGTGAGGCAGGCTGAGGACAGCGGCTTCAGCAGTGTTACTGAGCATGCTCAGCACAAACCAAACATCAAATGGGGAGGAGGGAACCAACCCCATCTGCCCTCCCCCGACATGTATCATCTCTATACAGGGGCTATCAAGGCAGTGGAAAACTGAGTTTTTTCCCCCAGACAAAAGTTGCATTGCATTGTGAATGCTCTCACTGTTTTGTCAACAAAAGATAGTTTTTGGCTACGACAAAACTTGATAGTGTGGATAAAACTTAGGCTATGTCTATATTTGCAATTGCTCAATCAATTTTTTGTTGTACTTGAGTGCTTAACAACCCCCCTTTCCAATGACAAAAGTTTTGCTGTGGCAAGTGCAACTGTGAATGCTGTTTTGTCAGCAGGAGTGCTCTCCTGCCAACAAAGCAAAAGCCACTTGTGGGGGCTAAAAGTATTTTGTCCATAAAAATGCCAACAAACAACATTCACATGCACCAGCTTTTTGCAACATTTCTGTGTTGACACAGCCTTGTTGATTAAAAAAAAAGCCATATAGTATAGACATAGACAAACTTTTGAGCTTACATAAAGGCTCTTCCTCGGGTCTGGGAAATATACTCAGGGAATCACAGCTAAATACAAATACCATAAGGACAAATACCATAAATCTAGTCTCTCTATTAAGTCCATGTTTTTTAGTGTCTAGCAAAGTTATGAATTTAATTCCCAAGCTCATCTTTTGAAAGTGTTATTCAGGTTTCCTTTTAAGAATTTCCCAAGCTCGTCTTTTGAAAGTGTTATTCAGATTTCCTTTTAAGAATGAGGATCAGATATGGAGTGATCACTTTGTGAAAAGCGTTCTTCACGGGTGATAGGCTATTTTTATTTTTTTAACATTCCTCTCTCTGAGTTCATTCAACAACACAGTGATTCTCTGTTTCATCCACAAAGTTATTATTAAAGCAGTTAGTGCATTGGATCAGGTACACCATATATTGTGATAAGCATCTATAGGACACATGGATCTTGAAAGATGTTTTGTGGGGGGTGTTGATCATTGGAGATATGTGTGGAGGTTTTTCATCTGTTTTTCTGGTAGTGTCTGGTGCCACTTTATGTTGGCGTTTCTTGGTCTGTGGGGAGGTTGCTTCTGAGGATGAGCTTGGAGAAGTTAGGGGGGTTGTTTGGAGGCCAAAATGGGGTTCAGTAAAGATTTCTTTCAGGATGAGGTCCATATCAGGGCTTTTGTTTAGTTGGATGATACCCTGTATGGTTTCCAGTATAAGGCAGTAAATGACAAGTAGGGGTGTGTGGTTGGAGTAGGGATGTTAAATCCCGTTTAATTAGTTAACCAGTTAATAGATTTCTTGGTATGTTTGGGGTAGTTGCAGGAGCTATGAAGATAAGTATAATGATCCACGGCTTTCTTAAATATAGCTGTCTGTAGGGTTCCATTGCAAAAGCTAATTGTGGTGCCTAGCATGTTGGTGCTAGTGGAGAGTGTTCCAGAGAGAGTTTAATAGGTGGTGGTTGCTGAAATTGTCATGGAAATCTGTGAGGGATTTTAAATGGTCTGTTCAGAGAATGAAAATATCATAAAAGTATCTCCAATGTATCCTTAGTTTTGTGGTGCATTTGTCTAGAAATTCTTCTTCAATGTGGCCTGTGAAGAGGCTGGTGTATACTAGTAACCATAGAGGTGCCATGGTTTTTGACAAAGTATTTATTGTTTAGTGTAAATTTGTTCTGAGTGAGGGTGTAGTGGATGAGTGTATTTTGGGGGGATATCTGAGTGGATATCTCTGGTGTTTACATTGTCTTGTAAATATTCCAGTCAAGCAGCTATGTGAGAGAAGGCAGAACAATCAGAATTGGATGAGAACAGAGAGAGTGGCAAAGGCAAAAAGAAAAAAATTGAAGCAGTAGCCTGTAAGCACTGTATATGAAGCTGGAAAAAAAGCTGGAGACAACTTTTAGGTTTGGTGTTGGCTAAGGAGGCTTGTGGCTATAAGCTAATGAAGTGCTCCATTTGTTCTTGGTTTGTCCAGCATTTGAAGAAGCAAGATTTTTGTACATTCCTTGTAAGTAAATAAGATTGCATCAAAGAAAACACCAGATGCCACCTAGAGCCTGGACTTTGATTAACTACTCAGGTCAAAAAAGGGCACTAAATTATTCACAAATTACACATATGGGTTTCTTTGAGTCTTTACATTCTATTCCTTTCACTGGCCATGCCTTGTCTGTTATGATGGCCCCTTTCATCATGAGTTGAACTTAGAAAATATATCACAAGAAATGTTGGAAATTTTGAGCAGAATTGTTGTGGAACCAGTTTAGATGCAAAGATTAAGGGTAGAATTTCTCAAAACATTCAGTGTTGGCCTAACTTTGGTCCTGTTGAAGTCCATGTGAGGAGAGTTTGGCCAATACTGAGCACTTTTAAAAATCACATATGTGTATCAAAAACACAGGTCTGGTCCATACTAGCAAATTAGGTTGATATCACTACATTATCCAGGGCTGTGAAAAATTCAGATCCCTGAGCAATGAAGTGAAATTGATGTAACCTTGGTGGAGATAGTGCTAGACTGATGGAAGAATTCTATCAGCTTAACTACAGCTTCTCTGGGAAATGGAGTGCAGCCACTCTCCGAGTTACGAACAAGTTACGGACCAACACTTGGTCCGTAACTCGAACTGTTCATAACTCGGACCCCATTGAGTTACACGTGACCATGCTGTTCGTAAGCGCGGGTTGCATTTGTAACTCGGGGACTGCCTTTACAACTGCTCGTAAGTGCAGAGCTTTGGTTGTAAGAGCGAACGGTCGTAACTGGACCGTTCGCAACTCAGGGAGCAGCTGTACCTTATGCCAACAGGAGAACTTCTTCTGTTGGCATATGAAGTGTCTTCACTGAAGTCCCACAGCGGAGCAACTGCAGAAGTTCAGCTGCATCACTGCACTGGTTTAAGAGTAGATAAGCCTGTAGCTGGGGTGACATTTATTCGGGACTGGGGGGCAGTAGTCCCCCTCCCAGATTTGAACCCCTGGATTTCATGCTTGAAATCTGCTTAAAGCTGCATGCCCTGACTCCAGAGGCAATTCTTAAATGCAACAGTTTGGGCTGCTTGCAGCTTTGTCTTTGGGGCAGGGAGTTTGTTATGAAAAGGAGGGGCAGGGTGATAAAGAATGACAAAAGGATGGTTATTCAGGTAATTGAAGGATCAATAGATAAGAACATAAGAATGGTCATACTGGGTCAGACTAAAGGCCCATCTACTATCCTGTCTACCCACACTGGCCAATACCAGATGCCCAAGATCATCATGAAAACATTGCCAGGTATTCCACTTAAAAGAAAAGGGGGAGTGCAGAAATGACTGTTGTGCTGAAGGGATCTATGTGCATTTGGACTTCTGTTAAACTTCTCTTAAATGTTCTTGAAAAAGGGGTAAACATTGACTAATGCAAAGCTGACTGCAAAGAGTTACAAAGGGGTCTCACAAAACTGGGTGATTAAGCAACACAAAGATAGATGGAATTCAGTGTTGATAAGTGCAAAGTAATGTACACAGTAAAATATAATCCTAACTATAAATACAAAAATGATAGGGGTCAAAAATAAGTGTTACCACTCAAGAAAGAGATCTTGGAATCCTTGTGGCTAGTTTCCTGAAAATATTTGCTCAATGTCCAATGGCAGTCTAAAAACTAAAAACTAACAGAATAATGGGAATCTTTAGGAAAGGAATAGATACGACAAAATACCATATTGCCTCTATATAAAATTATTGTATGCCCACATCGTGAATATTGTATGCAGATATATTGGATTTGGAAAAGTTACAGAAAGGGCAAAGAAATGATTGGGGTAAGGAACAGCTTCCATATGAGGAGAGATTAACAAGACTGGGACTTTTCAGCTTGGGGAGGGATAGCTCAGTGGTTTGAGCATTGGCCTGCTAAACCCAGGGTTGTGAATTCAATCCTTGTGGAGGCAATTTAGGGATTTGGGGCAAAAATTTGTCAGGGATGGTACTTGGTCCTGCTGTGAAGGCAGGGGACTGGACTCAATGACCTTTCAAGGTCCCTTCCAGTTCTAGGAGATAGGCAATCTCCATTATTTAGCTTGGAAGAGAAATAATTAAAGGTGGAGGGATATGTTAGAGGTCTAGAAAATCATGAATGGTGTGGAAAAATAGAATAAGGAAATGTTATTCATTCCTTCACTAACATAACACAAGAAACTGACCCAATTAAATTTTATAGGCACCAGATTTAAAACAAACAAAATAAATTATTCTTTTACAGTCAACTTGTGGAACTCTTTGCCGGGAGATGGTGGAAAGGCCCAAACTACAACAGGGCTCTAATAAGAACAAAATAAGTTGAGGGAGGATAGGTCCATCAATGGCTACTAGCCAGAATGGGCAGTGATGGTGACCTCAGCTTCTGTTTTCTAGAAGCTGGGCATGGATGATGGGATGGATCATGATGATTGCCTCTTCTTATTTATTCTTTCTGAAATACCTGGCATTCGCCACTGTTGGAAGACAGGATACTGGGCTAGGAGGACCCAGTATGGCCATTCTGATGTTCTCATATAGAGCTGAAATGTATGTGCCCCCTTGCTGTAACCCCCTAGACCTCACTCCCCTTCCAGAGCTAAGAGAGAGCCCAGGAGTCTTGACAGGGTCTCTCTCGTCCCAGACTGAGTAACAAAGTAAGAACATACAGTAAAATTTTAAGGCTAATTAGTGTCCCTTAAGTGACTTGCCACAAGATGTCAGAATATGATAGTGAGAGAGCTGAGTGAGTCTAATATTTATTTTTCCTTTTTCTATAAGAGTTAGATACAGTGCACCTGTCAGCTAAATGCAAAGCTGTCTGCCAAAAAAAGCAGTTTTGGTGACAAAAAAACTTCCTTCCTTACAAGAGACTTTTTTCTTTTCCCCTTCCTTTACTGTCGACAAAGGCTATGTCTACACTGGTTTGAAGACAAAAGTGCTATTGACATGCAAAAGTGAAAAATGGTCAAACCAGTTTTTCTGCCTCCTTATTGTTGACATTTCACGGCCATATTACTAGCACCCTGTCAACAGATAGAGCAAAGCAATGTGAGCAAGCATCCCACAGTGCAGTGTTGTGGGAAGGCAGAGCTGATCCCTGTGCTTCTTGGGATTCCCTTGTAGCTCTGCGAGCTTTTTGTGCTGAGGAATGTCAAAGCAGCACAGCAGTCTCTCTAGCCCTCCCGCTGCAGCAGCAGAACAGGAGCAGTCCAATGATTTATTCTTTGTTTGTTCCCCAAAGGAAGCAGCTCACTCAGCTGTCAGATACTTCCTGGAGCTTTGAAAGGGGAGGGGGCACATGCCTGCAGGGCAGCAGAAATTACAAAACCCTGAGTACAACCATCAGGGCAGGCATGATGGGATACCGGAGGAAGCCAATTCTATAGACCAAACAAACAGCAGAGTCCACACTGGCTCTTTGTTGACACAACTTTTAGAGACAAGGCCAACAAAATACTGCCACTTGCTATAGCAAAACTTTTGTCTTTCAGAAGTAGGGCTTTTTAAGCACCTGTAAATGTCATTCAACTGGCAGTGTAGACAAAGTCTTAGGGCAGGCTCCTGGAAATGTTCCACGTGAGGTACTTCTTATTAACTCACCTAATAGTTATGTTAATTGAAGGGTGTGTTCACACTCAGTCTTAAAGTAGCTTGAGATCCATGTATGCAATACCTCTCTGCCATATCTATACTACTTCTTATGTTGACAAAACATTATATTGCTCTGGGGTGTGAAAAAAACAGCCCTGAGTGACATACATTTCACTGGCCTAACTATGCATAGTGCTCTGTAGTTTCCTACTGGTGCTCACTGAAGTGATTTTATTATGTCGACAGGAGAGCTCTCTCCCACTGGCACAGAGCAGCTGCACAAGTGATCTATTAGCAGCATAACTGCATTGATACAGCTGTGCCACTGTCAGCCTGCTAGTGTAGATATAGCCTTAGCAAATCACAGCCCATTACTAATGTAAGATGTTAAGAGGCAGGTAACTGATTAATTGTGTAATTGATACAATTTGTATCAACTACAAGATTAGTCGATATGGAAAGGTGCTCAAAAGGAGCTACCCCTGCTGTGGCTCTGTGATTTAAATGTAGTAGAAGTCAGGCATGCAGGCAGATTAGCTCCTACTACATTTAAACTGCAGAGCTGCAGTGGGGGTAGGTCCAGGACTGGCGCAAGCTGGTACAGAGCCGTTGCTGCTCTGCATTTTAAAGAGCCATGCAGCTCTTACTACATTTAAAATGCAGAGCCACAGCAATCCTGGACTGGTGTGGGCCGGGACTGAGCTGGGCTTGCTCAGTCCTGGATCGCGCTGGGTCCAGCAACCCTGACCTGCAGCCAGCCCTTGTCTCTTGTGAGGCAGCTCTGGCAGCAGGCCCTGTCTGTGAGGGTGGCCCAGAGGGGAGTTGGAAACCTTCACGGACAGAGCTGCTGCTGCAAATCAGCACCTACCTGAGACCAGCTACTGCAGACAGAGGCTTCTTCGTTGCAGCAGCCACCCGTCCACTGGGAGTCCCAGCTCCCTGCTGGGACTTCTCATGGAAAGGGGCAGCTGCCAGAGCAGCCTCTGTTTGTGGCCAGCCCAAGCTGCTGTGAACAGGGGCTGCTTTGCAGCAGCCTCTCCTACCCCTGCACTTCGCCCTCCTTGCTACTGCCTCTGATAAAGGCAGCAGCACAGGGCGGAGGGAGGTGGAACTGAGGAGACGATGCTGGGGGGAACCAGCTTTTAAGCTGCTCCCCCCTAGCATCAGTTCCTGCCCCCCCTCTTGCTGCTTCTGATGCAGAGGCAGCAAGGGAGGGGGGAGCGAGTAGTCAACTTGACTACCCGATAAGTAAAGGCTTAGGCTTATGGAGTAGTCGACTACTCAACTACTCACTTATATCACCTAGTACTAAGCCTGTGTAAAGATGCAGGATGTATTTTTACATCTGTGCTTGCCCTTTCTGAGAAAACTCCATTTCCTGCAGCTGTTAAATGTTTAATGCAAGAGAAGTTTATAAGAAATAAAAGAAGAGCAAGTGGCTTACGTCATAGTTGCTCCTGGATCAGCAGTCATCTGATTGGTCACAAACACAGCCACATTATATTCTTTAACAAAGAACAATATAAAGAACTATGGAAAGAAGAAGCTATCAACATATAATTCATGCATATTATCCCACCAGTGGCATATGGGAGACAGTTTCTGAATGTAAAGCACCTGAACAACAAACAACAGAACACTCCTGCCCATCGTTCTGATGGTCTGGACTACAGTAATTAGAAATGGAATTTTCAAAAGTGATCAGAGCTGGCTTAATTCTTCTTCCATTTGAATTCAGTGGAAGTAGAGTTAGGCCAACACTGAGCACCTTTGGAAAACCAATCCTTTGTTCATTGTATGGAAAGAACCTCTTCCACTCCTTTCACCAGTTGTGAAACATTCCAAAAAATGGGGGAAAATGTAACTTCCTCCTCAACCAATAATAAACCACGACAACATTCTAATATTGCTGACAGACTATTACTTTACCCCTTTGGACCTCTGTTTTTCATGCCACCATTTGGTTTTCTTGTCTATTTAGATTACATTTTTCAGGAGCAAAAACTGTTTTACTATTGGTTTGAACAGAGCTGCAATTCCCTAAATGGGTACTTCTGTGTACTACTAAAATACAAATAAGAACAATTCTGAGACACCTCAGAATATTGAAAAATCCTGGAGTCTAACTGGTCAATTTGACCTGATTTCTAACTCATCGTCACATTTTTGTTTGGAGAGTGCTGTGGAGGGCAAAGGGCCAATGCCTACCACTAAATTCATTGGCGTTTCCATGCAGTGATGTTGGCTACCAACAAATGTCTTTTCACAATATTTCTAATACATTTTTCACTTTTCCTGCAAGGTCACCCTTACCTTCTGAAATTTTCTGGAGCCTCGATAGCATCTGAGCAAGTTTCTGTTGCCGCTCAGCCAGCTCCCCACGTCCACTGAAATCTACACGGAAGAGTGCCATTATGGAGTCGATAATCTGAATGGTAATGACACAAAACAAATAAATGCGAGGAAAGAAAAGGAAGGAAGAAAAGCGAGGACATTGTCTGGTAAGCAGAAATGTAAATTGGCCTAAAGGCTCATACCAACAGCTTGAAGATGCCAGCTTCCTCATGGAATTTGGCTGCTACATAATCAAGCAACTCCATCTGATGTTCACCTGGTGGGTAGTAGTTGGAGAAAGAAATTAAGATCAGAAGAAGCCAACATGTGAGATAGTTTTAAGGCCAGGTTTACACTAGAAATTCCTGATATCAATTAGGAGGGTGGGAGTTTTGAAAACATTTCTGTGCTGGCAATAATCCTAATGTGGACACAGTTATACCAGCATTACATTATTTCATTCACAGAATCAGTGTAAACTATATTCGCAGAAGCAGGTTTTTGTATAATATAGGATACCAGCATAGTTATGCTGTCACAGTCCCCTAGTGTAGATGTGGCCTAACTCCTAAGCTGGAGGCAAAGGACAGTAAACTTGAGAGTGTTCATAACTTAAGCCCATATATTCCATGGTTGCAGAATTTTCCACAGAACCTGCCACATACATGGAACTGTGCATCAGAAAGCGAAGTTACTCACCTTGGTGCAGTAACTGTAATTCTTCAAGATGGTCCCTGTGGGTGCTCCACTGTAGGTGCTGGGCTTGCCCCGGCACCACATGACGGAGATTTTTGCAGCAGTCCTGCCAGACCGTGCATGTGCAGGGAGCGTTTCGTGGCTTTCGCACCCTTTCGTACAACTCAGTCCAGTCTGAGCCAGTTCCACGTACCCGCCTCAGTATCTGTAACACAAAACGGACACAGACTCCGAAGCAGGGAGGTGGGCGGGTAGTGGAGCACCCACAGGGACCATCTCAAAGAATGACAGTTACTGCACCAAGGTGAGCAACTTCGCTTTCTTCTTCAAGGAGTCCCTGTGGGTGCTCCACTGTAGGTGTCTGCACAGCAGTGTCCCACTCCCCATATATGACAAAGCAGGTGGGATTTGGAGCTTATCGATTGGCCGATGAAAGAACTGCGGCTGTAACGGATTTGTCCGGCAGACATCTTTGCTGAACAGCATAATGCTCTACGAAGGTGCAGTAGGAGGCCCATATGGTTGACCTACAGATGTCTGCAAGGGGAACACCTCTAAGAAAGGCAGTGGAAATTGAAATGGCCCCAGTGGAGTGTGCTCTCGGGCGTTCGGGGAGAGGTATCGCCCGAGTACAGTAACATTGAGATATGCATGACACAATTAAGTTAGCAACTCTTTGGGCAGAAATGGGCTCCCCTTTGGAGTGTTCAATTAGGGAAAGGAGAAGTCTGTCTGTTTTTCTAAAGGGCTTAGTATGGTCAATGTAAAAGGCTAGCGCTCTACGCACATCTAACGTATGGAGAGTGGCTTCCTTAGCTGAAGCATGCGGCTTAGGGGAGAACACAGGCAATACTGTAGGTTTGTTGACATGATACTCTGAACAGACCTTAGGTATAAAGGCTGGGTGGTGTCTGAGGATGACACAGTCCCTCTGGAAGATGGTGTATGGGAGTACAGCCATCAACACCAAGAGCTCACTGACCCTATGTGCTGAGGTGATTGCAAGCACCCAGTTTCTGGGTCAGGTGCTGTAGGGGTATCATAACCAGTGGTTCAAATGGTGAGGCCGTAAGGGTTCGTAGTACCAAGTCTAAGTCCCAAAGCAGAGGCGGCATGTGTAAGGGTGGGTGCAAATTTGTTAGGCCCTTGATGAATCTCTTAGGGTATGTCTACACTACCCCGCTAGTTCGAACTAGCAGGGGTAATGTAGTCATCCGCAGTTGCAAATGAAGCCCGGGATTTGAATTTCCCGGGCTTCATTTGCATGAAGCCGGCCAGCGCCATTTTTAAATGCCGGCTAGTTCGGACTCCGTGCCGCGCGGCTGCACGCGGCATGGACTAGCTAGTTCGGATTAGGCTTCTAATCCGAACTAGCTGTACGCCTCGTGACAGCTAGTTTGGATTAGAAGCCTAATCCGAACTAGCTAGTCCATGCCGCGTGCAGCCGCGCGGCACGGAGTCCATCCGAACTAGCTAGTCCATGCCGCATGTAGCTGCGCGGCACGGAGTCCGAACTAGCCGGCATTTAAAAATGGCGCCAGCCGGCTTCATGCAAATGAAGCCCGGGAAATTCAAATCCCGGGCTTCATTTGCAACTGCGGATGACTACATTACCCCTGCTAGTTCGAACTAGTGGGGTAGTGTAGACATACCCTTAGTGAGGGGATGTGCAAATATGGAAAACTCTTCTATCAGTTGACAGAAATCCGCTATTGCCATGAGATGTACTTTTAAAGATGGTATAGCAAGTCCCGCTTGGTGGAAGCCCATTATATAATCAAGGATGGTATGGATAGGAGTGATTATTGGGTCAATGTGACGGCTTGAGCACCAGATTGTAAATCTTGACCATTTTGCTAAGTACATGGTTCTCGTGCTACTTCGTCTGCTATGTATAAGGACGTTTCTGACCGTCGTCGGAACATAAGGTTTCACTAGCTCTCAGCCAACTAGGTATCACGCTGGGAGATGCATCATGTAAAGCTGTGGGTGGAGCAGGCGGCTGTGGTTCTGGGTGAGTAGTGCTGGAAATAGTGGCAGCTGGTAGTATGGATAACGGGATAGTTGCAACAGTAGAGGAAACTAGTGTTGCCTGGCCCATGAAGGAGCTATCAATATTACTGTGGCCTGGTCAGCCTTGATCTTTTGCAATACTTGGAATTAGAGGTATGGGGGGAAGGCATACATCAAGGGGCCACTCCAACTGATGAGGAATGCGTCGCCCAGGGAGTGGCGAACGAGACCTCCCCTGGAGCAATCCTGTTGTTGTACGTTGCGAATAGGTCTATAAGTGGCGTGCCCCATTTGTGAAAGAGGAAGCGGAGGGGTTTGTGGTGAAGCTCCCATT